GCGGACTAGGTCATCCTATCTGACACCCTCTTTCTCCCTCCACTCCTTCACATGTTTAACCCTTTCTTCTGCCTCCACCCCCAACTTCGGCTCCACTGACTTTGTGGGAACCTTCCATATCGTCCGAACCCCTTCCGCCCCATTCGCCGATATGAAGAGCCATATCGGCCTCTACCCCTTTACAGACGATGGTAGCCCAGCTACTAACCCCCTACCCGCCACCACCTGCAAAGTCACCCAAGTCTCTTGTTGACCGAATGCCTTGTAGCACCAAAAGAACTCTTCGACTATCATCACCGATCTGTCGGTCGCCCGTGGCCACACGATCGCGCAAGCCATTACAATTTTCTATGCTTTGGGCATCAGTTGCCCCGGCACTGCCTCCAGTCAGTTCAGTATATCTACCACTACCGAGGGGATGGGCAACCTGAGCCCAACCCGTAGCGCTTCTTCATGTAATGAAAACTCTGCCAGCCGCGCATCTGACGCCTACTCCTTCGATGTGCACACCCTTAACTCTACCTCTGCCGGAATTTGGTACTTTCGTCGTACCTCCTCCAATTCTTCCGCTATAAATGTGGACCTGTCGGGCTTGGTGTGCCAATGGTCTGGCTCCACTTGGCTAATCGGCCTAGCGACGGCAATCATCGTCTTCGGGCGGGCCCACACCACTTGCCCCGCTGCCCTCTCCTCCCTTCGCTCCGCCCAGTACTGTTCCGCTAGTTTCACTGCATCGTCGTCCCCCAAAGAGTCTAGTCTTGTGGCTAGCACTTCCTTTTGGGCCATTTCTTCGACATGGCTGCGTATTGATTCGGACGCGGGCACAAGGAAATTCACAAAGTGTTGTAGATGTGTATCACTAGAAACAAATGAGTTTATTTCTGGGACATGTTGGTTTTTTGCGAAAAGATAAGTAAAGCGAATAACTCCAAATACCCACGGTTTGCCTATATCCCAAGGGTCAAGATTAAATTTCGCCAGCTTGAAAAATTTCAAAAAACTGCCGCCCCTGCCTTTTCACTGCCCTATATCACCTCGTCCCTTCATTTCTTACTAACGCGTCACCTCTCCCACCCAGGATCCTGCCATGTGTATGACCATGATCCACTACTCCTTTCCCCTCCCCTGTCTATTCCACTTCACTTCACCACGTGCCCTGCTGCTCCTCAAGCCCCGCGCACCGCCACTTCTCCTTCTCACTCGGCTACCCTTCGTTGTCGACCATTCTCATGATCATCCCCTCCCCTCAGCCACCCTTCGAGGTCGGTCCTCCTCACGGTCGGTCTGCCCACTCGGCCACCCCTCACGGTCGGTCCTGCTCACGGTCGGTCTGCCCACTCGACCACCCTTCGCGGTTGGCCCTCCTTAAGGTCGGCACATCCCCTCGACCACCCTTCACGGTCAGCCCTCCTCAAGGTCGGCACATCCACTCGACCACCTTTCGCGGTCGGCCCTCCTCACGGTCGATCCTCTCTCCATCGATACCTCACGACCCTTGTTTTCTTCCTTATTCCCTTCATTAGACAGAAGCCGCACTTAGGAATGGGGGACTACTGACATAGGTGGGCCTATAGGAGCGTTTGGCCTATCACTTAGAACCCAATACATAATTCAAACACCAAAGCCCAATAGTGTTAGAGCTCAACGTGACATTAAGAACCAATGACATCCAGACAGCTGTCAAGAGTAGAACCAGCCATATCGGCAGACAAAGATCCTGCAAAGTTATTGCACCACACATCAGCCATTAATGAGGTTTCCTGCAGTATTTATTGCGATAACCCCTCCCCGTTGGAACAGAACAGCCTTACCATAAACAAGGCAAGCTAGAACGTAGGATTTCGGCCAACATGATGGCTCGGAATGGACAAGAAAATGATGAGCAATGGATATAAGCAGGCTCCTAAGACAAAGAAAATGTTAAGCTTTTCTATCACTAATCTATCTCTATATTCCATCTCTCTCTTTCTAACTTGCTTGTCGGAGGGTTCGCTGGGGGACTTCTCGTTCCCCGTTGAACTCTTATGCAGGTCTCTCCGTGGGCTTGGCGTCTTGGGCACCAGTTTGGGAAGCGTGGATCAAACCGACCCATTCCGTCTAGAACTTGCTATATCATCAAAATACATCCTTGAAGTCTATTTAAAATACATATTGTCCACTGTGATTATCAAAATTACAAAAATCTTCTTGTTAGACTTTGCCATTTAAACAAAAAGAAATTCCTAACTATCCTATAAAACAATGCAATTATCAAAATTGTTAATTGAAATATATTACCATATCATTAGAAATTGACTTAATGATTGATTAATAATAGGAGTTAATTGGAATGTAATTTGTAAAACCACAAAACACAATTACTATTTTAAGTAAATTTCAATAATATATTTATAATTTGTCCCTTTTTAAATTAAATTTTTATAACATGATAAAGTTAAAATTATTGTCCTACATACATCACAAATGTTTTTTAAAAATAATTTATATGTCCGAATATATAACATACACATAAATAAATTAATTTAAATGATCATGTAAATTTATTGAAATTATACTTTCATAGTACGATAGGGTTAAAATTTATTTATTTTTATATTGCAAACACTACAACATATTTTAAAAATATTTTTGGATAAATTGCACCATTGGCTTTTTTTATTTATTTTTAATTTGAGTGAAATTTCATTTTGATTTTCGTAATTTCAATTTGAACAATTTAAACCTTACATTTTCAACTTATTGGAATGTGATCCCTTCATCATGTGTCGTTAATATTTTGAACGGAAAGGATCACGCATAAAATAAAGGGACCAAAGTGAAATAAAAAAAAATTATAGGGACTATTGGTGTAATTTTGAATTCTATTTTAGCCCCTCTAGTTTTCTACATAATCTTTCCCCGTTCAAAATTCTAATGATAAAGTGATGGAGAGATCACATTGCAACGAAATTAAAAATGTAAGGTTCAAATTGAGAAATTACAGGAACTAAAGTGACATTTCATTTAAACTACAAGAATTAATAGTGTAATATATATGTGTGTGTGTGAGTGTATGTGTACATATAAAAATATTTAAAAATAAGTGAATTAATACTATCAGATGTATTTATTTAAGGAGATTTTTTTTTAGGTCCCTGGTATAAAGATTTTATAACATAAAGAACATTTAATATTTTAAGAATGGCTAAGATCCCTCAATATCGATCTAGAGAAATTTCAATCCCAGAGAAATTCTGGACTTCTCAAAGAATTTCTCTGGGTTCAAACTAGAGAAAATTGAAATTTCTCTGAGTACCAAAGAAATCTAGAGAAAATTGTGTTGATAAAATTTGTGTGGCTTTGTGTGGCTCTATCTAGAGAAAATTGTGTTAGAGAAAATTTGTGTGGCTTTGTGTGGCTCTATCCAGAAAAAATTGTGTAGAGAAAATTTGTATTTTTGATCAAACCAGAGAAAATTGAACAAAAACAAAAAGTCAGATAAGAGGATTTCTCTGGTTTAGGCATGTAAATACACTAATCAAGCTCATGAACACAAAGTTAGATTTTACTCACTATTGAATCTTCAGCAACAATTTTCTCTGTGTTTTCAAATTTATCTGATTTGCTTACAAATTTATCTATGTTTCAACAGAATGATCTACTACAATTCCAATCTGCACAAACAATAAACATAGACTCTACCACATACATACATACATACAGATAAATCCAGTACCTTCTGGAGCTGATTATAGCTAACATCGCCGCGATGCTTTGACCAAAATCCATGGATAGAAACTGATCCATTGGAATAAGATAACGAGTACAACGACGACATACCATTACTGAATTGATCAAACCCGAATCCGAGTTCGATGCAAGCCTTGAGCTCGTCGAGGTTCTTGTCGGTGACAGTCTTGCTTTGCCGTCTCCATCGATCTTTACGAAGCGACGGCGGGACGATAATGTTAGGGCGGTGGTGGTGTTGTCAGAGATGAAGACCGAGAGAGAAGAAAGAAGCAGACAGAGAGAGGATTGTGCACACACACACACACACACACACACACAGAGGGTTTGGTTTGGAGAGAGAGAGAGAGAAACGAACTCGCCTTGGAATGAAGATCGCAGAGAGAGAGGGAGTCAAATTTCTCTGTGATATATGGGTGTAGGGTTGAGGGACTTTAGACATCATAAAATAATATCATAGATCTCTTCCATTACTAAAAATGAGAGAAGGATCTTAGACTAATTTTTTCTATATAATTAATGGGATGTTTGTGATCCCTTCACCAAATAGTAAGTGTCAGCATATTTTTGTTAAATATGAAAAGGTTATATGTGATTTAATAAAATTAGATGTCTATAATACAACTTCCAAATGTAACTTTCATAATATATTATGAAACATATTATGAGAATGTATTTTCATAATATTTGTCTATATATATAATAATAATAATAAGATGTCCATAATTATTATTATTCCAAATGCAAGAGGTGCCTTTAATAAAATGTATTTTCACAAATATATATAATTTAGTGTATTTTCAGGAAGTATTTGTGGTTTTTACTCCCTATTAATTATTATTTCTTTTACTCTTTGTAACAACTTAGTGTCTAACACTAGCAATTGAAGATAGGCTGCCTAAATGAACAACAGGGCAGATCAATAATTCATTCAAGTACTTGTGTTTAAATACAACAATGAGGTTAAACTGACACCAAATTAGTAGTCTAAGGCGGCCTTCTTCCAATGGCAAGTATGAAACTAAATTGAAATTTACAATGTTTGAAATTGAAACCACACCTTATTTCAAATTACAAACTTTGAAATCGAGCCTTAAATAAAGATCCGATAACCACAATCTAACAAACAAATCTTCTCATGTCTGAAGTTTTACACTGATCATGAATATCAAAAGCCAAACATATCTGCATATCACAAGTCGAAAGACAATTATATCTCTACATTGAGAATGGAAGAGAAACCACCACCAACTGAAAATGGAAGTAAATTACCTTTACAACTTCCTATTATTCTCGGCTTCCTCTAGCATTGTTGATTGGGATAGGCTTCTTTCCAATTGAAGTGGACGATCAATCAAGTTTCTGTAAGAGGGTCGAGGAAGTCCAGTTTTTGTGAGAGAGCCAGGCATTGCACAACAAAAGAACCTACCGCGTGACCCACTTCCTTGTTGATTAATGCTGCTCCCCAATTCCGACGTTTCTTCTATACCTTTGTCAAGGGCATTATAAGATTTTGCCTTCTCCTCTAAAACTTCATTTCCTTCTATAAGTAAAACTAGGCTTTCCATGTAATTCTCCAAATGAAACGATTGTTTCAACCCATGGATTCCAAGATACACTATTTGCCTCGTCTTGAAATCATATGTAACCAACTTCCCCTCTCTATCTTTTGCCAAAAATTCACCATTCTTCCTAAAACCTACAGCTTTGCTTATACCAAAATCAATTGTGAAGAATTTAGTCCAAGACTCAACCGCACCATACTCTTTCATCACCCATATATCACAATTCTTACTTGGATACCCCCAATCCCTATCATAATGGAACAAACAAATCGATTCCTCATACACTGCAACCGATGCAATTAGTCTGAACACATTAGCAGCACAATCCGGGAGCTTTATCTCATGAAACACTTCAGTACTGATGTTGAATGACAGTATCAAATAGCGCCTTATTTCCTTCTCATTGCCTCAAACCCAATCCAGTGGCAAGCCCGGTTCACAAAAGCATTGGAAACGCATTCCATCAAATTATATGATGGGGAAATAGTATTAATAGTTCTCCAAGTCCCTATGCTAAGCATATAAACATCGACCTCTACCGGAAGCCTGTAACCAAAGTTCTTGTGAAAATATATAAGTCTCACCACCTTAAAATCGTTAGCCAAGGGATCAAGTCCGAATCCAAGGATAAACGTATAAGAACCGTGAGACTTATATGTAATGCGAGGCGTTGGAAGATTCAAACATCTCTTGATTGATGGGTTCCATAAAATCGTAGTTTGATCATGAGACGACAAGCACACTAACCCACACGAACCCACTACCCTCAAATAATACTTTGTCCAGTTTGTAAATGGGCAATCAAATGTTGTACACTCATTGAATATGTTGTTATTGCAATGCACTGTGAACTGATCTTTGCCATCAGTGTGGTGCCTAAGTAGTACTAATTCATTGTTGTTGTTTGCAAGAGTTTGGTTTGTGTGTGATGTGATGAAATTGGGACTATTGATTAGAGAGTTCCATGATTTGCATACACACCTCATTTGTAATAGGGACTTGACCGGTAGGCTTGCCAAGATATCAAACACCACTTCTTGTGGTAGATTGTCCGACATATTGTTCGCCTTGTGAGAAATTTCTCTGGTTTGGTTATGGTTTTGCCTTCAGATTTTCAGAGATTGATCTGTTCCTTGCACTCTCATGGAACTCTCACATTTGATGTTCCTTCCAACCTGACCTTCATTTGATGAGATTTGTTGGCTAGACAACCCCATAATTGTCCAAGCAAAAGTGAAAAATTGTGGGATATATTTGAGGAAGGTTTGGCATCATTAGAATGGACTCCACCACTAAGAAAAAGCTATGTTTGTAGATTAGTAGATGGATACAATGGTGTGATCCAGATGCTCATTGGTTTTATACAAATAATAAAACTTTTATTCTCTTTAAAATATCTTTTTCATATTATTGTAATAATTTAATTTTATCAATTTAATTTTTAAAATTTAGACTTCTAGTCAAATTCTTGTCGAATAGAAGACGTCTTGCAAAAGACGAGTGTGCTTCTTGTCGCCAGAAGGGGCATTGGGCAAAAGATTGTCCCAATAAAGACAAGAAAGAAGAAAAGGTGAACGTTACACGAGATGGAGATAATGGTGAAGGATCACTCACTCTGATGATCCAATCCATTCATCTTTAGGCCTTTATTGCAGATTATTCATAAAAACTCATATTGATTCAATAATCGTAAACACATTATATATGAGAATTTACTGTCTCACTACCACAATAATCTATAATAGTCAAATGATTCTTAGAGGTTTTTGGTAGATACACCAATTATTGTACTAAATAATATATTAATTGATGATGTGACATAATTTAAGAAATTTTTAGTATTTGTAATTTGTATAATGGGAGAAATCAATAACAATATCATAACTATCATTGATACACTAGCTAATATACTAATTAGTACATATATCACCACCGTTCATAATTATATCTAACATATAATATGCATCATGAATATTAAAATGACCTATTGCATTCCACTAGCTATGTTTCTCCACCCACCCCACCCAGCACCAGTGAGTGAAGTCAAGTCAAGCTACTAAAAATAAAATCACTCCACTTCCATCCATCCAATTTTTTAAACCAAGACCACTTACTTTATATTTATGGATTTGAATAAAAATTTTAAAAGAAAGAGAAAAAAAAATTTTATATTTCATTCATCTTTTCCTCGCTTTTTTTCTTTCTTTCTTTCTTTTCTTTCTAAATTCCTATTCAAATCCATAATTCAAAAACATTCTTCACTAATTTGGAATAACCAACAATGGATAGAAAATTGAAGAAGCAAATCTAGATTGCACTTGAGTCATTCAATGATCTACAAATCCCATATCCCATATTGCATTTCCAAAGTTAAAGAATAGCCAAGACCCAAAACAGTTAAATCTAATACTAGCACAACCAAAAACAAGCAAGTATGAAACCCCACCACCACCCCAGCCAAGACCCTAAACAATTATGCTAAAACCAGCATAACCACAGCCCATGTAATCAGGAGAAATTATTCAGTTCTAGGAACAAGTCTATCTGGTGCTCCAATTTCCACAATAATTACTTTACATAATAAGGTCCATCACTTTTGTGTGAATATTTTAAAAGACAACATAAGATACGTTAATTAATAAATAGTATAGAGCATGGTTTCAGGAGTACTAAATTTTTTTTGTAGCCAGTAGTGGTGAGCCTTGACGCACAGCATTTTGTGGAGAACATGCAACATCATTCTATGATCTTAGCACATCCTACACTCAAATCATGTCTATAAAAGCTACTGTTTAAGCATTGTCTAGCTCATCCAAAACTGCTTAGAGAAATCTAGTGAACAAAATATGGGTTCCTCTTTGCATCTCTTTCTGTTCATGCATGTACTCTTCTTATCACTCTCTCGCTTTCATCTTGTAATAATAATGGCTAACTCTTTGTCTGCTGAGCAGCCAAAATGCCATGCAGACGAGAGCTCCGCCCTGCTGCAATTCAAACAAAGCTTTTCAATTGGCAAATCCACTTCTAGTGATCCTTCTGCTTATCCGAAGGTTGCATCATGGAACCTTGAAGGAGATAGTGGCGATTGCTGCTCATGGGATGGCATTGAATGCAATCAGGAGACGGGTCATGTGATTGGGCTTGACCTCAGCAGCAGTTTCCTCCACGGTTTTATCAATTCAAGCAGCAGCCTCTTCAGCCTAGTTCACCTTCAGCGACTTAACCTTGCTTATAATGACTTCGATTACTCTTGCATTCCATTAGAAATTGGCCATCTCTCAGGGCTAACAAGTCTCAACTTTTCCTCTTCTGTATTTTCCGGTCGAATCCCTTCGGAAATCTCAAAATTGTCCAAATTGGTTTCCATTGATCTTTCTTTCAATGTAGACTCATCAAATTCAGGACTGAAATTTGAAAAGCCTGGTCTGAGAAGCCTACTTCATAACTTGACTAACCTCAAAGTGCTTCGTCTCAATGACGTGAGCATATCTTCTGAAGTACCTGATACGTTGGCCAACTTAACTTCCTTGACAACTCTCGTTCTTGAAAGTTGTGGGTTGCATGGTGAGTTTCCAATAAGCATATTTTATCTACCAAACCTTCAAGTTCTTGATGTAAGTTCCAATGGATATCTCATTGGCCATTTGCCCGAATTTCATCCAAGTAGCCCCCTTCAAGATTTGATGCTTTCTGGCACCAGCTTTTCAGGGAAGCTACCAGATTCGATTGGAAATCTTAATTTCTTGAATCAATTAGATTTCTCTAGCTGCTATTTCTCAGGGTCCCTTCCAGCTTCACTCGGTAATTTGACCCAACTCAATTATGTGTCGCTTTCATCCAACAAATTTAATGTAGGGACCCTACAATTGCTTGGTAAGCTAACTGAACTCACTGACTTGGACCTTAGTGACCTCAATCTATACGGTTCGATCCCATCAGTTCTTTCAAACCTAACTCAACTTTCTCATTTAGACCTGTCCTACAATCACTTGAGTGGTGAAATAACATCTCATATAACCAACCTAACCCATCTAATTTGGCTAGATCTTTCAAGTAATCAATTGCGAAGCCCAACCCCCAGGTCATTCTCTGAGCTAAAGAATCTTGAATTAAAGATATGTTATGGTTGAATTCGTGCAACTTGAGGGAAGTCCCAAATTTCTTGTAATTCCAAGACAAACTTGATGTTTTATCTCTTGCTGAAAACAAAATTCATGGCGAAATTCCGGCATGGATGTTGAACACAAGTGTAGAAACTCTAGTTGGGATAAATCTTCAGAATAACTTTCTAACAGGCTTTGAGCAACATCCAGGACCACTACCAATTCCACCATTATCCATCCACTATTATAGTGTCTCATACAACAAATTGACAGGAGAACTTCCGCCATTGATCTGTCGAATAAGTTCTCTTTATGTTCTTGATTTGTCTAATAACAACTTGACTGGAACTATTCTTCCATGTTTGAGTAACTTCAGTGATTCTTTGAAAGTTCTAAATCTCAAAGGCAACAACTTTCAGGGTCCCATTCCTCACTCATACAATAGAGGAAACAAATTGAAGATGATTGACTTCAGTGATAATAAATTACAGGGGAAGGTGCCAAGATCATTGGCAAATTGTACTGAGCTTGAGATTCTTGATCTCTCAAATAATCTATTTGACGATACATTCCCCTTGTGGTTAGGAGATCTTACAAAGTTACAGGTTCTCATCTTGCGATCCAACAAATTCTATGGTGCAATAGTGAATCCCAAAATTAAGTTAGAGCTACCAAATTTGCACATCATTGACCTCTCTCATAATGGTTTTACAGGTAATTTGCCATCAAAATACTTTCAAAGTTGGAATGCAATGAAATTTTTTGATGTCGACAAGATGAAATATATGGACACAATCATTGATGTTGGCGGGAACAATGACACCCAATGGAGTTATGACTATTCGTACACAATGAGCATTATAAACAAGGGTGTAAATACAGAATACCAGGAGATCCCGAATATCTTCACTGCCATTTATCTCTCAAGCAACAAATTTGAAGGGGTGATTCCAAAATTTATTGGAAACCTTAAAGGGGCTTCAGGTGCTCAACCTTTCCAACAATGACCTTAATGGTGGAATCCCATCATGCTTGGGGAAACCTAACAAACCTTGAATCTTTGGGCCTTTCTCAAAACAAGCTCGCGGGAGAAATCCCTCAGCAACTGGTACTTCTCACTTTCCTTGAATTTTTAAATGTCTCAAATAACCATCTCACTGGACCCATTCCACATGGGAAGCAATTCAACACATTCGACAACAATTCCTACAAGGGGAATTCAGGATTGTGCGGAGACCCTTTATCAAGGAAATGTGGAAAGTTAGAGGCACCACCACCATCGAACTCGGAACAAGATAATGATTTAGTGTTCCCAAGTAAAGTTGATTGGATTTTCATATGCACGGGATATGTGAGTGGGATAGTAGTCGGGGTGGTTATTGGGCACACAATAACCACAAGGTTTCACGAATGGTTCATCGAGAATTTTGGAAGGAAACAGCACAAGCCGAGAAGGGAGAAAAGGAGGGGACACGGAAATCGAAGTTGATTAGGCATTGCTTCACAAGTTATTTCCTTTGGGGTACGTTTCTAAATTTATTGATTTATTTATGTATAATGCTTTCATGATATATTTTTAGATGAATTGTGTACTCTATCTTCTACTTATAGAATCGCATAGATCATCTTACCCAAAATTTCCATTCCCATGTATTAAAAGCACTCTTAATTGCATAATCATGTCTCGAGTTTTCTATATTTGAGATTCTTGACACATCATATCGTTAAGTATAGGGATCATGAAATTTTGGGTATAGAGAATCTCTAACTTTATGGTAATACTACTCTATGTATCTTGTTTCACAAAGACAACAAACAATGTTGGATAGGTTGAGGCACACACCCCCCCCCCCTCCAAAAAAAAAAATATATGCCATCATTTAAAACAGTACATGAATCATGTCAACATAAGATAGGATTAGAAAAACATTGTTAATATAATTCTTCTATATTTTAAAAAACATTGTTATTTCTCTTTCTTTTTCATATTCGGAGAGAGATAAAACATATGACTTGGAGGCTTTTCTGGGACTCTGACTTAAGCCCTTACAAATCCCCATGCCTGCATTCAAGGGGTGGACATTGACCTGGACAAAATTTAATAAAACCTTTTCCTTTTATTTTATTTGTATTTCCCGTATGTTTTTTTATGTTACTTGTGCTGTATGAGTGAAGATTGAGGGGTTAGTCCCTTTACCCTTTCTCCTTTTAGTGATTTTTTTTTTTTTTTTTTCCAAAATACTAACATTTTTTTTGTGCGTGTGTGTGTTAAGAAGTATTCTTTAATTTTTTTATTCTCTACCATATTCACGAATTTCTTTGTATGTTTTCTATAGGTGCTATTGTGAGATTGTTGAGGAAAGACAACTTCTGTGCATGTTGGAATTTCATGGAGTTGGAATGTTCTTTGTGCTATGAATAGTTTTCTTATTGTTCCAAGGCTGTGAAAGTAGAACTATTTGGATAGTATGATGCTTTTGTAATTTGAATTTGAACTTTTAGACAATGTGATGCTTTAAGTAGTAATAGTTTGAACTTCCAGCCTGAATAATTTGATTTTTTTTTTTAATTTGTTTTTGGAATATTATGAATACGCTAGTCATTTAAGTTGTGTAATTTTTTTTCCCCTAATAAATATTATATGTTGTGTAATTAAAACAAAACTTTGAAGAATGTGACTTCGATAAGGATTGTCATATTACAAATAATTATACTATAGCAAGATTTGTTCAAAGGTCCAAATTACAGCCCATACATATTAGTACAGTGGGCTGGTCTAGGATACGAAGTTTGTTCAGGGTTGGATTTGGGATAACCAAATTAGGCTCAATACAGGGCCATATTTTACTAACCGACTCTTTCGAGTACGCAGCACAAATTTTCTCAAACCAACAACTCCCTCAGTAGACCAGAAATAATTGCCCCCACAAAAGAAACTCAAGTCACTCTCATGCCAACCACTCTTACTAACTCAAACACCAACACTGCCAACTCCCACACACCTAGTAAGGAATTCTTAGAGATGTTATATGGACATCAATCCATCTAATCCACTTCTTGGTATGAACAATAATACTCCAACACCAAACACCCCCATAATGGGTTCCAAATACGCACAAACCACTCGAATGACCAGAACACCCCACTTTTAGAAATTACAAACAAAAGCTAACTTTTCAAGCGCAAAAAGTACCACTCGAGCGCAAAAAACACCGCTCGAGCGAAGAATACCAACTCTCTGAAGTTTTGCAGACAGAAGACCACCGTTTGAGCACGAGAAGGGCTACTTGAGCACAAGAAGCACCGCTCGAGCGTAAAATACACTCTCCCAGTAGTTTTGCAGACCTACAAAAGTACTGAGAGTTTGCAAAGACCGCTCGAGCCCAAGAAGCTACGCTCGAGCGTAGAGGCCAAAATCTGGGCAACCAAAGTTTTAAAAAACAAGCTACCAACCCGTTCCAAATGCAACCATCACAACCCAAAAGCCAAACTCAAGGAGGGAAAGAAGAAATAAAACATGAACAACAATGTAAAACAACAAAACCCAAATCCAGAATATCAAATGGGTCGGGTCTAAACCAAAATCATTATATCTCCGACAAAAACCAATAACCAACATCAACCAAACTGAATATATTGACTGGTAAAACTCCACCTTCACAATAACCCAACAAGTCACAATGACTCTCAAAGTACTCATCTTGCACAACCAACTTTACCATCCATCAATTCTAAATCAATTCCAACCAAACATATTATTTAACATAGCATACGAACCCTAATCAAAATAAGGCTCTTCAACCCTTACATTCACAAGTCAAAACACAATAGTTCTTACACATTAAAATGAAGATTTCCCAATCCCACAACAACTCACATCCCAACCAACCACACTCCACAATGCTAACCTCCAGGTTACCAACACCATAGTCGGAACTATACACCAACACTACCCGCATCTACAAGGGCAATCCCAACTCTTCGTGTTCTAAAAACCCTAACACTACCAACACCCCTTCCATGGCTTACAAAACTTAAAACAATTCACTCAATTGGGAAACACACCCCACGCCTCTAACCACTCGAGGTCATACCTAATTTCAACACATATCAGTCCACAGACTAACGACCCACACCAAACCTACATGACGTCACTTAAATGAGTATAACAACTCCATCCAACCACCAAGCACAAAGGACTCAAAACATCACCGTCTCTTAAAGACATATTAATTGTCATGAAGGACAAACCAACACCAACTCACAACTTATGCTAATACACGATATATCACTAGAATAGCACTCACCGAGGTGCCCACTCCGAGTCCACTACTCAACCCAAAATGTTTCTATAAGAAGAGAAACACACAACTTAGGATACATAACACTAGCACCTTTCCCCAAAATACTAACATAACACAATCACATAGCAATTACTCAAACAACCCTATTGGGGCTCCAATTAATTTACATAACCATCTACCACATAACACGTAACACATAATCGCGCTAAGTCCACAAAGAAAATTATTCGTTCCAGTACTCGCTTAAATTTCTCATTAGAAACAAAGTTGATCAAGCGTGTTTCCAATAAGACCTCCAAGTTAGTCAATTAGACACCGAATAATATCCATGAGTGTCAACACCATGCCCATATAAAATGCAACACATATGCATGTTATCATTTAGCACACAACATACAAATGTCCTCACCGAGCATGATAAACCCATTATGGCTAACCACTTCCCGTGAGCCCAAGGTTTTCAAACCCGGTTAGCTCTAATACCAAGTTGTCACGCCCTGGATTTACAAGGTCTGTCTCACGCGAGTAAACCACCCAACGATAGACGATCACTAACAACACTCATGCAGATGTATATAATATAAGCACACAGTACATGTGTCATTTCAATGTTATACATTCTTAGATACAACATTTAAGTCAAATGGATGCTCTGTAATAAAAACATACAAAGATGTTAAGATGCCCAAAGGCTTACATCATATACAAATGGTATAACACTAACAAGAATGGCATACGGCCAACAAATACATAAATGGCCCTTGGCCGACAAATAAAGGAACCACTCTACACGGTTCCAAACACAACTTCAATGTCTCAGTCCACGTCTGTAAGCATACCTGAAAAACAATTTCAGCCACGTAGGGTGAGCATAAAGCCCAGTAGAAAATATTTCAAAAACTAAACATGCTCTACAAGTGTAAATGATCTTGAATGCAATACATACATATATAATATGTTCAATGCATTCTCAAATCCACTTGATTTCTCAATAAAAAACCCTTTTCTTTCCAGTCTTCCAAACCTTTCATTTATTCAAAACGTTTTCCGAATTCAATACATTAGTTTGATATAAAATCTATTTCCACAAGTCAATCCAGGTATCTCAATACCAGCTAGCAATTTCATTTCCAATTCCAATACAAATACATCGTTAACTAATAACAAATACATTGCTAAAACCGTTTAAAATCATTTCTTTCCAAAACCAAAATTATAATAAATAAAATGGGTAAATGTCTAAAAGCAATACAACCTTTCGCGAAAATTTCGTCCACGGGAAACTGTCAAACGGGACCTATGTAAACGTAGACTATACAAGCACTACAATTGCCATTTTACAAAAATTTCATCTGCGGGATCGACACCCATGTATACAAGCGGTTTTTGGGACTTTCACCCTAGACACACATGCCAACTTAATTCAATGGAGTCCACCCCCTTTCTTCTCCCAAACATGGAGTACATCCCCTTTCTCCTCCCAAACATCAACCATTTCTCAAACTTACCATTTTATTTATTCTTTCCAAATAGTACAATACATGTGATCCAAAATATGATTTTCAAAATGAAACATATGCTCTTAAAACATAACACAAGAGTTTCCAAAATCTCTTTCCAAAACATACAGTTTAAATCCTCAAAATCCATTGCATGCTCCATGATATACATGATTTATAAACAGTCCAGTTTGCTTAGTCCAC